CCGCCCGCCGCGCCGCGTGCTGGCGCTCTCCTTCTTCGCGGCGTCCGCGGCCCCTGGCCCTCCGCCGGGGCACGTACGGAGCCCTCTTTGCATTGCCCTCACCTCTGTCGCTTATTGCTCGTATGTAGCCGTGGGCTCTTAATCGACGCGTTTGAGCGTGTCGCCTTTTGTCGTCGCTCGACTCCTCCTTTCGTGTTTTTTGTGAAGAGCATATGACTTCTTTCCTATTGGATTCCTCACTCTACGCCGTAGCATGCCCGTCAACATGAATATGTCTTTTTCGCAATCTCTTGACCAGGGTCTGCACTTCTGTGAAATCGCTTCCCACATTTATTCTGCTACAGCCGCTTCTCAGCGCGATACTGATACCCTGTGTTCTTTGGCGCTCTTATTGATTCGTAGAAGATTAATCGAGGCTCGTCCTCTGGGTGTCGTGGAAGCCGCGCTTAAGGTTATTTCTCACTGCTCTTTTCACCGTTCTTTTTCTCCTTGTATTCAGCAACTCTGTCTTCCGCCATCCCCCTGAGACAAGGTAGGTGTTTCTTCTATAATTATGCCCATGAAATTTTGACTTTTATTTGCTATCTAATAGATACAATAAATTATTATTACTCTCGAATAAGTTTGTACACTATTGATAATGATGCAAGATATGGTTCTCTGATTGAAAAATCACGGAAACGTGATAAGCGACTGCGAAATGTTATACTACGTGTAATTTTTGTAATTCTTCAACTCGTCTCATAGTTCCCAAATAATTAATGAAAATGTGTATGAATCATATAGCTCTTCATGGCATTGATCATAACATTCAAAAACACGATGTCCTTTCGCGCTTTCAATACAGAAATAAAAGTCAACAAACGTGTATTTATAGAAATCATTTGTGTTCCGGGAATATGTTACAAGTACTGCGTCGTGCGTCAACGTACCTGATTTGATAACACCATAATTCGATAGCTATTTAAAACCTCACGTTAGGGTGAAGTAAGCCCACACGAATTGCAGGCGAAATGCAACGATACTTCAGATACACACGACGGTATTGCGGGTTGCAGAACAGGTGCCAAAGTTTACGGAAGTACGAAAACTGACGGCGCTCTACAATTGTCACAATTCAGTGTAATTCCCATTTACTTATTATGTTGTGGGTATGGGAATAAAGTGTAATAATATGACTCCAATTACTTTAATTTGAGCCGTAAAAAGTTCGTGAATGAATATGACAGTCTTGGTCACGATTGAGGCAAAGCTTCGTTCCAAAGAATCTTCATTCAATATCTTACATAAATGAAAAAGAAATCGTACTCGTGGCTTATGAGTATCACACTTTTTTCTAATATTAACGATAGTGCGTATTGCCATAACGCCTTTTCATATCGTTTCTACAATTGTTTTGAATTATTAAAAAATATACAACTGGACATGATTTTATTCAACATTGAAAACAAGAAGAGTTTTTTTTAATACATATTTATTTTTCATTCGAAAATAATAGTTCAGTTACACATTCACTTTTTCATATGCATTGGATGACTTACAACTATTCATATTGCCTAATCTTAAAACTAGCTCTACTTATAAGAAGAGGTAAGAAGTTACAATCTCCACCCACTGTTAACAGTTGTTCGCGAATATATTTACGATGGCGACAAAAGGGTATCGGTTTTTTATTCGTGTTTGGCAAGAGAGTTATTCAAAGCGGTGAGAAAGGCTGTAATTTTTTAATCTTGATATGCTTTTACGATTGTGAGCATTCCAACGCAGCAAAAGAACACAAAGAAATGCTTCATGAACATTTAAAAAACAATAATACTACATGGACCTAGTCTCATTAGTCTCTTCTTTTTTTGGTAAGACAGGCGCGACATTTTCAAATTAGAGAAGGAATCGATGCATAATGTATATATTAATTTTACAGATAATGTGTACCAGCATAGGAATGATAGTTAGAAAAAGACCATCAGCTCTTTCAAGTTTGTGGGAAGTTAATGTATTCTCGTTTATTTTAAATCATTTCTTGAGCACTGTTTTTCCTTTGATGATGGCATACATATTACGTCAAAGAGATACGTTGTCACAATTGAGTCGCGGCTTAATGTGCACAGTCATTAGTTATTTTTGTCGTCTATCTTGTCAGGTACTAAACATTTTCAGCAGACTCGACAAATGAGAAATTTTGACATCTCGAATTTATTGAAGCATAATTATTCTTAGTTGTTGTTTTTTTGCCCTCTAAAATATTGTACTGATGGTTTTGTTCCCCTATTCTTCTAATCGACTGTGGGATCCGGAGTTCGCATGTGTGCTATATAATCAGTCTGCAAGCCTCACTTTTTCTCAAGCATTATCAATTGAGTAGATATCAGGAGATATCAATATCCAATGTTGACTATTTCTGCCTCCTTGATAATGTCATTGAGTCACGATTTTCTCACGCATTGCTGCCTCGAAAAATGCCTATTCATTTGCCACCAATTTGATGACGTGCCTTACAAAACGTTCAAAGACTCGTTTTAGTATGCCTGTGCATCCAAATATCGTTAAATTACCTTCAGCGGCATCCAATGTTTCCTCGTGAATCAAGATGTAACGGTCGATTCGCCTTCTTGTTGCAGATGAGGGGCTGCGTAACCACGACATGCAATTTTGCGCTCCAGCTTTTATGGTCTTCCTTTGCTTCAGATTGTCTGCAGGTATCATATAAACATTTTATTGAATAATAGGATGCTCAAATCTCATTGGAAAATTATTATGCAATTTTCTTCATCTTATTTCTCGTATTGTCTCGACCACTATTTACTCACACAATCGCCATAGCTTATAATTGTATTCAAGAAGCCATTTCTTTACCTTTGTCTCAAGGATTTTTCAAAACCATTTTTCTCAGATAATGATAGTCTTTATCTGTTGTTTTAAGTGTTTATAAGTTTCTTGGCGGTTTGTCGAGTCAGAGGTACCGAAACAATTTTGTCCTTACGTGACTTTCCAAAAAAATACTTGTAGCACATGCTGAAAATTTTCTTGAACCATCCAAGTACAAGTTCACTAGCAACTACTTTCTTATTTTCCATTTTAAGATATTAACCATGCTGCAATAAATAAATCATCATCCATGACATCACCAAATAATAAAACTATCCTATATACTATGGATATTCTCTTGTTGCGATCCTCTTTTATGTCTTATATCAAAAGACTCTTTACAAATGCTGCTGTAAAAATAATTCTCGAACTTTTGAGGAATATATAACAGATTACATCAGGGGCTTCCGATTGTCTACAGAGTGATGTAAAAACACGATTTGTTTGGAAAAATTGATCGATCCCTTCTCCCTTACGGTAGATCTTGCATACCTTGAAAACGGTACGACCCAAGCCACTAAAACGTATTTCTGAGGTGGTTCTAGGGGTACGTACCTTAGGGTACGAGCTACAATATAAAACTTTTTGAGACCTTCAACCAAACTTTTTGTGACTTAATTATTTTTGATACCCCAACTACGTATCGCGGATAGTCAGAGACTTGCAAAATCTAGCATTCTCTGTAGAAATAAAAGAACTCTTTGAAATTCAGTGTGATATAATGCCACGGTTCTATGTCTCAATCTTTGCTAACAAACACTCAGAAATATTAAAATGCCTAAACACGCCTTCAGAATGAACATGAATTAGCGCACTTCAGAGCCTAGCAATACAGCGTGGAAAATTCGTGCGAGCACCGCTATTATTTTAACATTAATAAGGGAAATTATATTTCTCAATAAATACAGATGAGTTTCTAAAATTCGAAAAACCATGCATTTTTCTGTTGTAATCATGTATTGAAAATAACTGAATTAGGTATTAAGAAATAAATAGTCAATTTACAACGACGTCAATGGGCGAATCCGATGTTAAATATTGCGTTTTGTATTGTTATAAAATAAAACCTTTTGAATCGTAGTACGTGAAATGTGAAATGTCTTTTCAATATGTGACTTTTCAGTTTTCTGTTATCTCAGATGCCTCATTTTTTCACTTCAAATCTCCCACTTTCCTCTTAGCCTCCTGTCGCCACCCCCCAAGAATGCGTCACAACGAGTTGGAAAACCTATTAATCTCACAGACCCTCCAGACTTTTGTAACTTCTTCCCTTTCCCTTTTGAATCTTTCCCTTCCTATGTCTATTCATGATTTTCTAGGTGCTTTACAGCTCACTGTGCTCATTATTGTTCTTTTATTTAGGCATTCTTTAGACCATGTAGATGATGCCCAGCTGAACCAACTTCAATTTTTCAGATCATGGGAAGTTTTATATGGTAGGAGTACCATGTCATCACCATGTCTTCCAAGAAATGTTAGCGTAAGAGGGTCATATGCACATATATAATACTAACGTACATTCCCGCACCTTTTTCTTTTATTTCTTAGACCTTTATTTCTTTCACCTTATTCATTTCTTAGACACGGTTCAAAATTGGTTTGCCCCATACCTGAGGAACACTTAATACTAATCATACTAAAACATATTTGGAGTTCTAACACTGGCCGTTCTTTGTTTAGTAACGTAGGAAGAAAGCAAGAAGAAACATGACAGTGGCATGCCAAAATAATAGAACGAGGTTGTTTTTCCTCTTTATTCTCTACGGTCAAGTGTCGTTCATTAACTGGGAATCGCAATTTTTCCTGTCCGTATCATCTTTTTCACGAAATACTAATAGCTTAGGAAAATTTCGTTATTTTCTTATTTTCTTGGACAATTATATATATATATATATATATATATATATATATTGTTATCATTTTATAAATATTTTTTGTAATATAATAATTACACATTTTATTTGACATTATATGAAGATTTTGGATACTAGGTGTAGTATGAAAGAGAGAGAGAAAGTGAGTGAGTGAGTGAGGAGGAGAGGAGAGGATGGGCATTGTGATAAAGAAAGAAATGAATTGGCAAGAGGTGAGTAAGGAGCGAAAAGAGAGCGAAAGAGGTCTTCAGAGAAGAGAAAATGAGAAAAGTAGTTGGTGATGCAGGAGGAGGTGGAGGAGGTGGAGGAGGTGTAGGAGATGGAAGAGGTGGTGGAGGAGGAGGAGGGGCGCGGAGGGCCGCGAGCGCCGGTCACGTTGACGGTGGCGTGCGCAGGGTCCGTGGCGGGGCGGGTCGTGGTTGCTCATCCAGACCCCGTGTCACCCGGCATCGCCCACGTGGAAGGGGCGGCGGAGGCGGCGGCGGCGGGGCTCGGCCAGCCGTCGGCTCTGGAAGAGCTGGCGTACAACACTATTACAGCCACCGTTGGATTCCTGTCGTTCCTCGTCAGCCTCGTTCCTTCTGCGCCTGCTTCGCGCTTTTTTGTTGGCTCCTCACGGACACCAGAACGGAAAGCAGTACAACTTGCAAGCCAGTTGCTACTTGGCTGTCAGGGAGACGTCGCGTCCTAGGCCTAGGTGCCAACGTTCCGGCCACCATTCTGCGACCTTCCTCAGGGCAAAATGCTCGTAACTTGCAAGCTAGTCATTGTCCTTCCGGATGCCTACATTTCAATGCAAAACACTCATTGAGCCAAAATATTCAAGTGCTTAATGAATATTATATAGAAGTCATGACATCCACAATAGATATGTAATGGGGCTGAATCTTTGTAGAATTCCCCAATCGTTAATAAACGGCTTCGTGGAAAATTTTGGAATGAATTAAATCCTTAAAAAGAGTTATGACAGTTATTTTTAGTATTGTGCAGTTTAACCCATTTCCATCGCGAGTGGGCCTTTCACCAAAATCCTTTTTCAGTAATATAGCATGTTGATATTCAAGAAGAAAAGCTCATAGGATTTAATAGAATGCGCGGTAATGAATATGTACTTCAGTGCGCAGAGATTAGACACAATGAAATGTACCCCGTTAAACACTAAAAGCGAAAAATGTGTTAACAAAATTTGAATGCGTTCTGCATTTTATATTACAATACATTGTAAAAAATGGAGAATTATTAAAAATTGTTTTCTTTCAAAACGTCTTAGACGAATGATTTCTCGGATAGAACCGTTTTTGTGATTTTCTTTTTTTATATTAAAGAAATGTGATTGCTTACATTCAAGTTTTCATTTAATATTTATTTCTACGACTAAATTTCACTTTTCACTTGCACTTAAATCTCGGTTTCTCATGCTGATCATTTAAATCTCATCTTGATAGACTTTGAACCACCTGCCTTTTACCATCCTGCCCCTTGCCTTTCCCCATCTGTCACAAAAAGTCGCTTCACCTCACAATGGTAATTTCGTAATTCTTTATTAAAGTACTTCACTGTGATATATTAGCGAACAAAACTATGATATTTCGTTGTGTAACCCCCTCCTACAGATGGCATCATCTTTTTCTCTGGATACCGCATAAATCCTGTTGTAAAGATTCTATTAGATAGCAACATCCTCTCGATTATAGGGAGGCCCCGTCTTCCTTTAGATTTAATATATATTCGAGCTTCTCATATGCTATTGCCTATATTCTTCATTGATTTAAATGCGGAGTATTATCCGGCAAATGCAAAAGAAAGTTAAGAAACTCTCATCATGTCGCTCGGAATCATTTGCAACCAAAGTTCATAGCAGTGGTCCGAAGCGATAGGAGTGTTAAATTACGTGGATCATAAACCTTAAGACTATTGGGCAACTCTTAGTCAATTCAAACACCAAATCACATGCTTCTTACAAGTCCCAATTAGTTGTACCAATTTGATGCAATTCACGACATGTGTAGCATCCCTTCTGTTGTAATATCTCCCCTAAACAGACCTCACGTGTAATGGCGGAGATTGATTTATTCCACACTACAATTCATTTCATCGATAACTTTGAATAGAAACCTAAACCCAAATAACTGGGTTTATTGCATTTGCCAGTCGAGAAGAATAAATTGTTGAGCCCTCTCCTGAAGTGCTGCTCTTTGAATGATTCTCCACGCCACTGGCCCACGTCACGCGCTCCATCTCAGGTGTTTCGATCATGGTGTCCAGTTTTCTCACGATCCACGGAGAGACTCTTTTTTAATTCTTTACGGTTCCAATTGATATTTGTTGCGGACCACACCAGTCCTTGTAGTACTGAATTTTTTGAAGTGATTGCTTTGTCACACTACTAAGTTGTTTAGTTCATTTTCTTCTTTTTCATATGAATAAACAAACGCATTGACACTTCTTTGCCACTTCCTAACGTCTGCCTTGAAAGTCAATCAACAGCCTGAACAGTATGAACACACCTCACGAAATCGTTGGTTGTTACCTCACTGTGTTATACGGCCATCTGTTGACAAATGGATTACATGTTCTGTCGGGTGATGTAATATATAATCATATGATAGTTCAAATTTTATTCTGATCGTAGAATGAATGTAATAAAATGGTAGATTCATTTATATATCATCGTCGACCTCATTGCTCACATGTAATTAAGCAATCATGTTACTCCTAATACAAAATTTCACAAACTTCGTTTGTAGGCGTGCTAGCGCAAGCTGCAACGCCATTAACGACGATGTAAATTATGAGTTTTTAATTTTACACTCGAATTGCTTCAATAGTGTTAATAGTGAACTATTTATTAGCGCTAATAAGTTTGTGTTGTGATCTTTTCATTTTACAGTTATTTCAAAATTCGACGCCAAATTTTTCGAATACAACTATGCTACGTTTTCTTTAAACGAACAAGAAATAACATGAAGGGTAAAGTCGTCCATATGCTAGTCGTATCAGCAAATCAGATGATCGACCATTTTAGGTTTCATGTGTGTGAAGGTTCGCGTTTTATGGCTTGCTTTCCTTAATTCTCGCTGCTTTTCCATTGCTGTTTTCATCATTTTTGCACTTACCTCCAAGTGTTTTCATTTGCTTGGCAAGAGAAACCCATCTCAACCAACTCATTCTCTTCGAAGAAATTCTTTGGGGAGAGCAGCAAGGCTGTGCGAGATGTGGGGCTGCGCGGGTGCGTTGGCTGTCAACGACATTCAACAAATCTTCGTTTCGTTTCTGAGTCTTGTTTATGACACTCCTGGCGTATATACTGTCCCTCTTTTCTAATATATTGCAAGGGAATAGTATGGGAGTTTTAGGGAATTATGTAGCGCAAATTATAATGCACCATATCAATGATTTGAAAGATTTGACATTTAAGGTATTCTAGAAAGAATCGAAATTCTTCTCATCTCGGATTGTTCCGAATATCTTTTCTTCGAAGCTCTGTTGCCAAATGGCGCTTTCTCTTCTTATCTCTTTCTTTTCGCTTTTCAATCGGAACGACTCCCGTAAGCACGTCGATTTCCTGCTTTTTCACGAAGCTGAATTGTTTCCTTAGCTCTTCTTGCATATTGTTTAGTATTGTGCATCTCTTTGTCGACGTTTTTCAGTCTCTAGACTCAGTTCCTGATGGTGGAAAATTTTCAAGATCAACTGAGACTTGAGACGAATAATATCTCTGTTAACCATCCCGTACACGCGCTCTGTTTGTGACGCGAGTTCACGCGCACGGACTGGAAGTCCGCTAACGTCAACCACTCTCTTCTTTCAAATTAATTAGCATATTGACAAGCAAATCTCTAAATCTGCGTGATGTGGACCGCGCGAAATCCCATCTTCCTCTTCTGTGTCCTGCTCCTCATTCGACTACCATGCACAAACACACACGCATTACACGAGCGTACGTGTCGGATCACGAGATCTAAAGCTGGGTCGTCGAAGATTGTTCAATTAAAAAGGAGTGCTTGAGGAAAAGGTGCAGAGAGTCTGTCAGTGAGTTCTTGCGCTCCGGAATAAGCGAGCATGCAGGGCGTCTGGTTTCCATTCTTGTGTCACGTGAAGCCCAACGAATACATTGCTATTCGCGTGCGACTACCGGCGATAATGGCTCAACAGGATGCCAAAAGGGAATTTTTAGCATTCTTCCTCGTGGGAATACGTCATCCAGCCCATCTTTTACATATGCCTGTCCAAAAAGGTTCGGAAGAGTTAGTGTGTAGTAAGTTATAAGCACGAAAAATGTTAGGAAATTTTCCATATTTCAAATGATTTTTTAATGTACCATGTAGAACCATGTGTACTTCCTAAAATAAAAGTAATTTTAACACAATGTAATAGCAGGAAAAGAGTTTTTCAAATCTAGTTTCTCGAATTAACTTTCATGAAACATATTTATATTCAGTCTTTTTAATGTATCTCATCATTGGTATGCTTTTTCATGATTTTTCTTTTTCTTGGTAACTACCCTCAGGAGGATGTTACAGTGTGGTAGTTACTTATTAGGCCGCTTTGTTCTTGTAGAATCTGTCAATTAATATTCATTCTTATTATTGAATAAAATAAATCATTATACGTGTCACGATTATCAAGCAATTATGTAGATGTGCTCTTTTAAGGGGTGAATAAAGACAACCCCTTGATTCCATAACTATTATCCAACTTCAAGAAATTAGATTTAAAAATGGCACTAACTCTTGTCTAGTGTAAGCATCCATGACACTTTCTTGAAAATTATATTTTAATATATTAAGTAATTAACTCCAAATAACTTGCAGAAAAATCTTTGATTCTGTAAAATCCCCTTCACAGAAAAATTTTAATGGTTGTAACATCAAAACTGCAACAATGACATAACACCATATCTCGTGTGAGTATGCGGGTATCCGAGAATATTGTTCTTGGAAGCGAGTGATCTCGAATCCTTCAGATTTATCGCTCTTCTAAAACAATTGTTTAACCAATAATATCTTCATGGATTATCAGTGTTGATCAGCACCTGGCAAGTAATATGTTTTAGCCACGAATACTTTACAAAATAAATATTTGTAGTATTTGCATTATTGAATTAGTATTTGATGGGCATGATAACAATATATAAAATAAGAATAAAATTGCACAAACCACTGCCGTCTGTTTTAGGCAAATGGCTCTGGAATGTTTTTCGGGCGTGTTACAATATTATATCATTCATTACCAATGCTTTCGTGATTTAGCCATTCGCCTGTATTCGCACGTGACCCAATACCTCGACTGCGAAGACGGCAATCCCGACGTCGCACAGTGGTCTGAGATTTACAACTATGCGGTAAAAGTCCCGCATTTCAGGTTCACGCAATTCGATTTTAATTTCGAATTGTCATTTATTTATTTTTTAGATGCAGAAGCTAGAGTGTTTGCTGTTTTTCTAAGCATTCTTTTTCATCAAGGCAATTCAGTTTGATTCCGAAAAATATATTCAAATTTGAAAATATTGAGGTAACAATTATGCACTAAAATGTAATAGATGTTAAAAATAAATAACGCGATTTACTCTATTACATATTTTAAAAATATGGTTTCTGTCAAGAAAACAAAAATTAGTTTGTGACAAATTTGTTCAAGTTTTACGTCGATTTTAGAAGGCAATGATAACATATTTATTAACTGCTCTTGAAATATATAAAACTCCTGGTAAGAATAATAAATATACTGCCAAAATATGCGAATTTTCCAATATAACTCGTCGATTATAAATTTTGATGCGAATTCACTCGAATTTGTTCATACAAATTTTACTGTTTAATTAATGGAGTATCTTATCTACTGATTATTTTCAAGTTTGTGTTGTTGTAACTTCATTGACGTTAGTAGAACTGTCCAACTTACCATTTGAAGTTTCCTGTGGCCATATTTACGTTCGGTTTAGAAGACGCGAGATTCCTCTTTGAAATAAATTGTAATTTTCGTTTAGTTTAGAATTGTTATTAAGAAAAGAAAGTGTATTTCATGAAGTCATAAAGTGAACGTGAAAAATTTGCGAAACTATGTAATGTTATTTTATTTTAGTATTGCAGTAACTATTCTAATCTAAAACATGGTTTCAGTATTCGTGGGAAAAGTTTTGCATTTCAGAACAAGAAAGAAAGACCGAATTACCACATTGATCCAACATTGTAAATACGTACAACAATATATTGCAAATTTGGAAGGAGTTTCGTAACCAACAATTCAAAATATCAATAAAATCTTGCCGTCGAATGTCACCTTAGAGAGAAAAATGACAGGAAAATGTAACAGAAAAAATAATTTCCCCAAGTATTGGACAAAATACGCTGCGATACGTTGAAGAGCCGTCGGAAAACATAAAATGTTAGATTTTTGAAGAAGCTCGAGTGCATTTATAGAGCGAAATCTGGGAAGTCGTTTCGTGGATTTTAATCACAAACGTCGACGCTCCATTAAAAATTTCGAACTCAGCATACAATAATTGAAAAAATGTGAATTTTTATCCGAAAATACGACAATTGAACTGAAGAAGACTGAACAAAAATTTGTTATGTGTTTAAAACGTAAACCTCATAAACGAGAACAAAAACGTAAAATATGATTATTTTAAAGGTCTGCTTCTCAAAAAAGAGAATGCCTTTTCTGTTCCATTCAATTTTGATCAAATTGGAACAAAATGTTTCTCGTTGAAAACACTTTGGCAGGTTTATGTATTATACATTTACGTTTTCTTGAGCTCCGGAGTACATACTCCTTTAACATTAATTGAATTCAGAACAAAGGTTAGCAATTAGCATTATTGACAAAATACGGTACCCAGAAATGGTCGTTTCCCTGTAATAGAAACAATTTTGCATTAAAGACCGAGCTGCAGATTTGATACAATTGTCCGGTCGTCGAAATAACTAAACTTACACTCCTTTCACACCTTACAAAATGACGGCTCAAGAAACCGTGGGCTGATAATAGTGGTATAATATAGCGGAGAAGTTAGTAATAATACGAGAAAGTATGTGATGATGAAGTACCAGGGGTTAATTTTATTCATTTCTTAAAAGTACTAAAAATAAGAAATAACCGATTACTAAGCACTGTCATGTCAGATCCGTCAGTCTATCATGAACAAACTTTGCAATCATGTCAAAATACCTCTGGAGTATAATAATTTGAATACCCATTTTTTAGCTATGTATTATAGTATATAGTGAAATTATTGTTTTAACAAAATGTAACATTTCTTTTCTTTAAATGCATTACAACTACTCCTTACTACTTCTTGACATTAAATAAATAAAATATCACATTATATTCGAGGACATTATCCGCATGACGTTGAAGAGAATCACGAAAAATGCATTATTTGAATGAATATTTAAAATGCATTAATTTAAATACGTGGTGTCGATTGACATCACGCTCTGGACAGAATGAGGAGATGAATCAAAGGGATTACGAAAACAAAGAGCGACTGAAAGGGAGAAGCTAATCTTATAACCCAACAAAGTCTGAGATAATCGACAGAGCTGATTCACTACCAGACACGCATGTGCGCTCAGATTACAAAGCTGGGGATGACTTTCTCAGCTTTCTTTGTTTCCTTGGTTCAGAGAGATGAAGGCTCAAGGAAGAGTGTGTGATGCAGAAGATGCTAGATCGAAATCTGTATAATAATTGACATATTTAAATAGATCGTGTCCTAATTAATACCACTAAAGAGTTAGAAACAAAGATGTATTTCTGTTAAAATTCTTATATAACGCCGTAACACGTAGACAATAATCACAAACGACAAGAAGAGAATTGATGCGTTTGAAATGCGGAGAAAACAAAGAATGCATTGGGTGCTGTGAAGTGACCAACGAACAATCATTTCGATTCTTCGAGAACTCAGTGCGAAGAAGAGATTTGCCACTATCTGATAACAGCAAATCTTTGACCAACTTAGGTGGCTTAGGATATAAATTGATGTTTCTCCAGTGCCTAAGATTGGGAGGTCCTAGCGTTCGAGTTTAGACGGTGGAAGGATTTTCCACTTGAGTTAGATAGCTAGGTCGATTTCTGCTGCTGTCTCGAGCAGAAATGAAGCGCCTGGCTGTTCTGGTCGGTGGTTTTCCGTGGTTGCTGTGGTGAATACGAGGCGAATGCCGGAGCAGTAATCTAACAAACGGGCCATGGGCCGCGCTTTCCTTCCTCCTCCTCGTTCCGTGCTCACACTATTACGTTTACATGCCCGACACTATCGCACGTGTCAGGAGCTCAGAGATTGTCCCGGCTGGGACGGTTATTCACTTGTGGGAGATAAGTGTTTAGGGAAAGTTCCGCAAGCCTTCGTGTAGGTCGGCTCTGGCTCTCGCTATCCAGTGGAGGTCGATCGCTAAACAATTAAGTAATAATTAAATTCTGCATATAACTTGTGTACACCAAGCAATTATGCATTTTGAGAACAATATATGTGACTTGCGTCATGTAAAGGTCAGTTGCCTAAAAAATCTATAAAAGTTGTAAATGAAATAAGATGTTACAAAAATGGTATTTGCAATAACTTTTTGCCCTTCCATCTTTGCGCAAAAACATAAGTATTATTAAAAATAACGACAATATCATACATGCGCGTCACTTTCGTACATCCTATTAAATTCGTCGAAACTCGTTACCTACTGTTTGTGTAATAAATATTATTATTCAGTACAACTTATTTATTGTAGAGTATTGAAAACTAATTTATTTCCATGTTTAGAAAAGACTTGTTGTAGTATATTCTTTGCCTCATAGGGAAATCTCAGACCTCCGTGCGTCGAGTGCAGTAGCGCTCAAGGACGATTTGAAAGCGAAGCCGACAAAGCTTTCCGAAAACTTCACAGTTCCATGATGTTCTCATAAATTTCAGCTAAAGTTTGATAATTACAATCTGATTTATTGAAGGATATTTGCAGCCAAAAAGTGGTGTTGCAATATCTATACATAATACTGATTTTTTTAATTTTAAGACCGCTGTTTGACAGATTTTCTAAGTTGTAAAGGTAATTTTTCATTACATGCAAAGAATCTGCATTTGGTGCAACGCAGTTAAGAATTTCAAAAAATCGACACACTTTCCTTATGTCCTAGGGCCTACTTATACTGTTATTGGACCCTCTGAGGAGGATACGTGCATATCATATGCCACATTATCACGACAGCAATGTATGATTATTACCTAGCTCATAGTTTTTATTCTTTCGACTTATTACGAATTACTCAAAACTGTGAACCACATCAGAGTCGGAATCTGCTACGTAGACGAGACAATTATACCAAGAGTTTGAGTGTGAACCTTGAAGATTTTGACATTTTCGAAGGAGTTTCATTAAGCAAACATTATAAAGAGAGAACGCTTATATGCTTGTTTAAGAAATAACTAGTTGCCAATTATATAATCATGTTTATAATGAAAATTGTAAAGTATTAATACTTCATCTCCCTTTCAATATATTTTCGCTTATGATTTGTGTATTTATCTAATGTTAAAAGGAATAATTTCTGAGATTACGAAAGGAAAAAGAGTTAGAATTCTGCCTAATATCTTTCTCAAACTCCAATAAATGAGTTTTACAGATGGTCACTAGTTGTGATAAGGACTTGTCCCTAGTGTGATATGGAAATTACTGCAAAAATACTATTTATCTTAACATTCTAAACGGTATTTTGGTTTAAAGTGACTTTTTTTACTACTTCATAATTTTTATCTTGTAAGAATGTAGTAAAGTTAATCTTCTGTGTGAATCGTTATTTCTGGAACAATTTCTCGGGTAGGGAGCGCAATGCTGGGTCCATTTGTGAAATCCAATGTTTCCCAAAGTCTTACGAGATTCAGCGGTAATGGTTGTTTAAATTTAGAATTAACTATGATTTACTCAAGGACTGTCTAATTTTCAATAAAACATACTCTTCTTAAAACATTTTGTAATAATATAAAATTTATGAACTTAAAAAATTATTTAAATATATTCATACGGAATTTTTAAATTTTGCCTCGCGGGAGCAAATTTGTCTTCTAATTTTATATTTTCAGCTTTAAAAATATTATCAGCAAATCATTGCAGTCAACCTTAGTTGAATAAATGCCAACAAATAGAAAAAGTCACAATTTCGTTGCATATACAAAAATTACTACAATGATAATGTTCACCATTTTCTTTCATTGCCTACCATGGTCTCTCAAAAACGAGAGCCTAATAAAAATCTTGCACTTTGGTTACATGAAAATATAAATCAATTTTCAAAATAAAATTTCATATTATTAAACTTTTATTTTTTTTTCATGACTACCAGTTCTACATAGGAGCATAAATTTTGCCTATTATCTTTATTTCAATCTATTTTTAATCCCATCACACATATTATTTTGAATCTTAATTGTAGATTCTTGTAGAGATAATTAGCACACCGATGAAAAGTTTTGTAAGTACGAAGTATTAACTTCAGTTATATTAAATGTATGAAGAAAATTCTTGTCTCGAAGGAAAAACATACGTTTCGAAATTTTATTCATTTAAAATTTTACATCAGTACTAACCTGACGCGACTAATATTTTGAAACTGTTTAGAAGGTTACTCTAATTAGATTAAGAAAAAATGTAACGATAATTTTCCAGATCTTTTTTTTTTCAAATCACGTCTCTGGACGAAATATAAGAGTACAATTTGTAGTCAGTAAGTATATTTAGTACGAGTTTAGGCGGTCTCCAGATCTTTACTGAACATTGTTGAGTCGTGTTGTTGAGTCGTGTGTAGCACTATTGCAGTAATTTCCCATATCATTGAACTTATCCAATGGTACAATATCCTCCAATGTACGCCCGTTTCAGGGCACGTCCTCTCTTGTCCTTGGGCGCTAAGTGCGGTCGGATGTCTCGTAGCCTCCCAAACAGCACGACACTTGCCCCAGTTCGCTCAAAGCGTGTCTTCTTCGTTGCAGGGTACGTCATTGTGGAAAGCCCGGAGCCTCCTGGAGAAGATCTTGTTGGTGACGTTGGCCCTTCTGGTGCTGCTAGTGCTGGTCCTCGCCACCCTGCTTAGCGCCACGAGTCGCCCGGAGCCTGCCCTTCAAGTACACGTCCGCCCGCACAAGACCGGTAAGTGCTCATGGATCACTGGCAAGGAGACGAATCTGGTACTTCACGTTCTGCCAGGTCTTCTCATTCCTCAACATTCTCAGTTTTCATTCTTACTTTGAATTATGCTGCTGATTCATTGAGCCATTTTAGGTTAAGCTGTTTTTAATGTACCCGAATTTACACTTCAGATACTTCTTCCTTCTAAATTTCATGTAAATAATAAAAAAGCTAATAATTCCACGGTTCCAAAAGTTAATAAATTTTCTGTTACTACGAGAATATTCGGGTTTTTATCACTGCACAAATTTGTATTGCACAGTATCACGCAACTCCCCCCCACATAGGCAACCGGCGACTCACGCGTAAATGGCAACATGCAATGGAAAGATAACGCAACCAGTCGCCCACAGGTAGCGCTGAAAACGGGCGAGTTTGATGCGCCTTGGTTCGGAAGGCATCTCTGAGATGACGTCAGGAAATAGCGCGTTGAGTGCGGAGGGTTCACGCGCTGCGCTCTTCCGTCAGCTCCGCCATTGTTTTGCTGTCTGACGAGCAGACTCATTACATTTCATTCAATTGGCATTGTATTTTAAACAGTAATGAACTCGTTCGTTATTATTGTTGCTAATACTTAACAATGAACTAAATATTCGAAAAACAAATGGAAAAAAATGACCATATATTTTCTTTCATTTTGAAAAGCACGTTCCAAATTGATCTACTTTAGTATTTAAATATATTACGGAAATAAACAACAAAATGCATTAGAATAAAACAGTTATTTTATTTTGAATATGAAGATTATTGTGTACAGAAATCACTTTTACATTCATATCTCCCTTGACATTCAAATCCCCCTTGACATTTTTGGAGAGTGAAACAGCTTAAAACATTTTACCTGGGTGGAAGGCCGAATTGACAGGACAAGTTCGACGAAAGAGTGACAAGAATGAGAGTAGCAAAACATTTTTGATCAAATATCGCTCGTATCTATCTTGATAGACGATCTATTTTCGATTCACGGCAAACTGAATGCTGATCTTCAATGTTGATGTTGGATGCTTGGCGGCGGTGATGGTGTAACGGTTAGCATATTGGACCCAAGTTCGCGGGTTCAAACTCGATCGAAGTCGTGGATTTTTAAGTGCGAAAAAATCTTTCGTTCGCCTTCCTTCAGAAGGGAAGTAAAGCCGGCTGACCCATATTAGTAGATTTACTTGCATATAAAAGATTCTTAAGTGTAAATGACGCATCTGAGCTAAATTCAAATCGCCTATTTCGTCGCCCAAGAATTACCTCCTTTCTCCGCAAGTTGGTGAAAGGAGCATACAGAAGTTTGCGTGGTCAGACGGAAGAGCGGCCCCGGGAGAAGGAGTTGAAAACGGTTCCCGGAGAGTGGGACTTGGAAAAATTTCCGAGCCGTGTGACTTAGAAAAACTTCCTGCCTGAGTCTCGACACGGAAAATAAAGCATCAAATCAAATCAATTCAATTCAGTCTTATCTAGAAATATGAAGAAAAGCAACAGTCTGTCTAAATGGATGACAGAATCGACGTTGTCACCTGAGAGATGCCCTCCGACCTTTAGAGTGAGCCACCTTCCTGAAAGCTCCGAACTTACAGATCTCGACGCCTAGTCGTCTTACAGATGCCTTCCGAAATGTAGGACGTTTATGTTACTTAACGTATACGGCCGCAAAGGGCTAAGGTTTAGGGCTAAATTCACTCCCTTTACCACATGAATACGGGTTTGCATCCCTAATAAAGGCAAATATTCTTCCTTATGGTGGTTATTCGTTGCTGGCGTGAATTCAATATTGTAATCAAAATACGGTTAATTTCTATTTTCTTACACAAGAGAAAGTTATGTAACCGTACGACGAAAAACGGCGACTTTTAGAAAAACTCTAATTGCCGAGACCTGGTAACGGAGAAGTGGTTAAATCCCGTTGCTATATATTAAATTACTTCTCCTAACACATTTACCCAGAATCCGTGTTTTGTGGGTCCTTGATCCCGAAAAATCGATTGACGGCAAAACGGCTGTCTGTATATCTGTGTGTCTTTCCGTCTGTCCGTCCATCCGTCCGTCCGTCCGCCCGTCCGCCTGTCCCTTAACCTATGCTCAACGCTAGCTCATAAAGCCTTCAATCAGTTTTCTTCAAAATTGATATTCCTCCATCAATCTGCAAAAGAGCAATTTTTTGGCGTCAGCCTGCAATTATAATATCGAAGCAAGAGATTTCTTTCCTTAATGAAATCTGTTCTTTAAAGGCACATTTTGAAATAAAGTCATGTTAAATTTTGAGTTATGAAATTTCTAAAACAGATTTTTAAAAACCGCTCCAAATTTTTCCTTTAAATTTTGTTGTTATATGTAATTGACCGTAAAAAATATGGAGCTAGTACCATTTTTGGCTAACTCTCCGTATTTTCGAAAACTGCAAAAAGTTAACATTTCAAAAAGAATTTGTGGCCCTGGGTTGTTAAACCGAATATTTTGATTTTAGGGAATTCTTTACACTAAGCCTCTACACTCAACCTTTTCTCAAACATGGCTCCGAATTTTTTTTATTAAACTTTGTTCTCTAGTAGCGTAAGGAACGCTTAAAAATGGTGAAGGTAACATTGTCGTGGAAATCTCTTAATTGTTGAAAATTTCGAAAGTTAGATATCCCGCGTAAAAACACCTGATGTTGCAGCACCACACGTTTCTTCAGGATGTGTGTTCGAGATTGTGCATGTCGCAAAGAAAACCTTGATCCGAATACTGTTCTCTTCAGGGCAGGCAGCGCGTCCTAGCTTAGACAAAGGCGACCCCTTATCGCGCCCCCTCCCATCCTGACGAGCTAGAAACTCGAGCCGCGGGAAGTCTCGTCGGGCAAAACCAGACAGCTGTGAGCGCCTTCGGGATGCTGTAAAACGCGACTGGTGCAAACACCAATAGAAAACAAACTGTCACGTATCCCGAACAGGCATGACTCAGATTACTCAGCGACAACAAGAGTTGTCGCTGCAGCGTCTGTGACCGGAAATATATTGGGTTCTGGTCTCGACGATATTCGGCACTAGCGAAGTCGAATTCAGCCACTGTCTGGGGACAAATTCTAGCCGCCGACTACTCTGATCGGTTGTTTTGCGTGTTTTCTCCGGTCAATGTCTGTCGAATGTCGAATGTCAATGTCTGTCGAATCTTAACAAACAGGCCACAGACCGCGCGCGATCTTTCCTTCATCACTCCTGCTCCTCCTCTCCTCTTACATACTTACACGTACTACCACACATGTTGGGAGAAATGTCTGTAACTTAGATCTTGGTCGGGTTGTGGCGGTGCCCCATTGAAGAAGATACCTAAACGTGGAAAACCCCACAAGTTGTCGCCGGCACCGGTTTTGACGTTGCAGCGGGACAGTATCTCCACCATCTAACATATTATAACATGCACTATACTCACGATACTAATGACCATATCAGTTGGCGCGCACGGAAACACTAAATACCCAATCGTGCAGGGACCCCTTTACTGGACGGGTTTGATGAAACGCAATATTTATTTCGTTTGTTTCATTGGTGTTTTAGCGTCAATTCTGCAATCTCTCGTTCGTGGTATTAACAATGTAGGTTGGCCGAGGCAGATGTCAGATTGCAGGAGGAATGACCCGTTTCCAACGTCACACTTTAGTGGGAGTCTCGCGGTATTTTCTTGCAAGAGGCCTCGGGTAGTCATGTTCTGTGTAGGTGTTGTTAGAATAACACAACATGCAGTCTACATTGCAATACCTTCATTCTAATGAAATTGTAATACCATCAAGCGCTTTTCGAACAAAATGCTAGCATATTAAGTAGGTTGTAATAAGTCAGTGGTGAAGCAGGTATGTGGAAATGTGATTAGAGTGATTATTCAGTAAATATTATATGATTTTTACATAATGTACAAATGTACAATTGTTTTCTCACTTCTTCGGCCACGTATATAATGTTTTTGCTCCTTTAGTTACATGTTACTTTTCCCATTTACCACTTTACTCACCTAAATAAGTGTATGTATATTTTTTATGTGCCTCATAAATATTAGTTATTTATGTACCTCATAAAAATTCATCCCATTTCTCTTAACATTCATGTGAAAATCTGTGCGAGTTATTATAGAACTTGATTTTCCTTGCAGATGTCTTCGAACCTATTTATTTACCTCCTCCCACGAATGATACAAATTTGCGTATTAAGTGAAGCTCCGCTCCCATAAGAACGAGTACACAATGTTTGTTACACGGGGCGGGCTAAGAACACAACGCGAATTGCAAATATCACTGCAACTGAAATATATAACTTAACTAACAATTTAATCCTTGATATTAAAAAATAAATTAAAAGGAGATCATTACCAGTAGTCTATTTTAAAGAATGACAAAAACTGCCAGTAAAGAGAGATGTTTGGTTCACAATTAATACATCCAATGCCATTTATTAAAATTACTTGCGTTATTATTTGATGTTTCAGTGAGATATATCTTCTCATTTCACATTTTTTTATTATTTTTTATTAATCTTCATATGTTAAAAAGCAGTGGTGGCTGGTGCCTCCAAAAAGGGAGGTGCAGCTCCATCGAAGGACGGTAAAAGAAAGTTAGATAAATGCTTTATCGTCATGATAATTAGCAAACCTTGTAACTCCCTTTGCTTCCTCCATTTTCTGTTTACTTCATGCTAAAATGTAATTATGAAAGAAAAGTAATAAATAAAACTAAATAACAAATCGAGCATCTTAAATAATTGAGTTTTCTTGTATTTATAAGTTCAACAAGAAAGGAAACTAAAATTCTGCTTTCCCGATTTGTGTATTCTTTTCATTGCGGAACTGTCCAATCTGGAGTTACGAGGTATGCTAATTAGTATGACGTTATATAATTATTATGTAATACTGGCAGTATTTAAGTACGCTAACTGCAAACTGCTCTTTATG